TTCAAGCCTCCTACACAACCCTCCAAACCAAGTAGATAGGATACATAGCAATACCTGGTGCTGTGGCAACCGCAGCCCATGAAATTGGTTCTGAAAGAGCCCCTTTGAATACAATTGCACCAATGATTCAGACATACATAATGCATGTGAAACTTTGTGTGGTTGTGTCATTTTGGTGTTGTCTTTGTCTGTGTGTGTGTGTGTCTTATTGTTGTTTCTCGGTCTCTCTCTCTCTCTCGCGTTCTGTCATGTGAAACTAGACTAACATGGTCAAACAAAAGACATATGAACCAATGTTGAAATACACTAAAACACAACAATCGATGCAAACTATGAGTTTCCGAAATGAATGACACTGGCACTGGCCCTGATGACTTCTTTGATCAGAGCTGCAGGGCACGAGCTTCAAGTCTTTACCATTCTTTACCTAATATGGACTCAGAAATCCAGTAAAATCGATAGCCGATATTGCTGTTACCCGATCCCCTCCCAGGGTCCAGTGGATCATGGTGGTTAGATTGCAGGCCCACATCTTCCACCGACCGTTAGGCACACGGAAAATATACCCATTACTGTAGCTGTGCAAAGAGATGCTGGCTATAAACATGCAATTTGTGTGTACAGAAGACCTGGGATATGAGCAAACCAGCAAGATCTGTAGCACCAGCTGAGCTGGTTCACTGCTGCGATGGTTCGCTTTACCCCTTTTGACCAATTGTCAAGAATTACACGACGTGCCGAGCCCTGGAGAACCCTAGTGCATCATCAACGGTACTTGTCTCAAAAGGTCTCCAACTCTGGAACCTTGAACCATCCGAAGCCACGCCCAAGTCATCCTGGAAACTTGTGCACTTCAAGCGCAGCAGTTGGCTTCTTTCAACGCGGATCCTGCTTTGTGTCATAGCTTTCATGGTCACGCAACAGGATGCCAACTTAGCCATGACAAGGCTGAGTGAAACATAGTGAAACTCCTCGGAAACACACTACGCGCATGTGGAGAACAAGCGACGGCTGCTCCTTTGGACGAACAGTATGCCACTCTTTCTGAAGAACTCTCTCGCCAGCTTGTTCGACTATGTACATTTTTTTGCGGCACATGTGGTTCTTGAGAAAGACTTCACCCTAGTCTTTTAGTGTAATTGGATGATTGGAGAACTGAAGGAATGAGCCCCACAAGTTGCGCATTCGCAAGGATTTTCCAACCTAGTCGCAACGGTGGAATATGTCATATGTCACTTCTTGCGCGGTGATGCTGCGGGCTCACTTCCTCTTGGCTCTGGGCTTGTCCCCAGAGTCCTCCCAAACGCCAAGTAAATATGGATCCAGCGCGCAATCGATGTTAACAAAGCAACAAAAACGAACTTCTCTCCAAAAAAGAGATAAATTACTTATATTATATGTGTGTTGTTTGCTTTGGTAAAACAAAACAGGCATTTCGCAAAGAGTTCCCCATGAAAACATGGATAACATTGTGACTGTGTGCTTGTTGTTCAAGCTTTTCACCATACAAAGCCACTTTGAGCTGCTGTGAATCTGTCTGGCCAAGCCATGCTAAGCCAGAAGGCTGTTCGCAGGATGAAAATAAACGCCTGTTGTGGAACTACCCAGGAACGTCAGGAAGTTCTCTGGAATCTTTCGTTTCACATGCCAACCACCTTCCCCAGAACCAGATTACACTTTGGCCTTCTTCTTCTTCTTGCCAGTCTTGTACCTCGACAGAAGGCCCATGACTGGCCCAAAACACACATATTGCATCCTGAATCCAGAAAACAGCTTAAAACATATTTTAAAATGCTTTTCACCACTGGGCACTTAATCTTCGACACATCCACCTTTAGCTTCTCAGGTTCGACCTGGAAGTTGAAGGGTTGGACAATGCAACATGACAAGAGGCGCAGGTCAGACCACGACCGAAACAAGAGGCGCAGGTCAGATCACGACCGAAACTGACGGATTCTCGGCTTTGCTTGTTTCTTTGCCCTTGACAAACACATACACCATCATAGAATCATACACATAATATCATGCACGCACCTTCATTATTCAACAAAAACATCCAATCTAAGGAATTGGTCCGTGATGCTTCGAGAGTCAACCCACAATGTACCCGGTACAAATTGTCAACTACCCAGGCATCTGCCAAAATTTGTGTATCTCTTGAATGCCTAGAATCAATCTGTCGCGAGGTCACTTTGGGCAAAATGACCGGAATGAGAGCAGGCCCGACAAGCCCCTTCGGCCTCGTTTGCCAAATAGATATCTAAGACGCTCTGGTGCTTGAACTCCTGCGTAGCAGTGTTGAAACAATCCGAACCTGTGTGGATAGCATTATAACAAACTTTCATTGGAAAGAGCCTGTTTTCTAATTTTTTTTTAAACAAAAAGTCAATCCGAAAAGTCAAAGTCAAAGTCAAAAAAAAGTCAAATCAGCAAATTTCAGAAAGTCAAAAAGAAGTCAATTTGCCCAGATCCGACCTTTTTTGACATTTGTTCGACTTTTTGTTTCTTTTTTTACTTTTTTTTCGACTTTTTTTAAATCACGGATTCTGGCCTTACCATATGAAAGAGTTTTTCTTTTTAATACGGATAGCAGGAGTGTTTGTAGTGGCAACAACCGCAGGGCCCAAACAGCGCAAGGACAATGTTCTGGGAAACCCAGTGTCAGTGGCTTCCAACCAGAACACATTCATCTGTGAGGGACATGCGGTCCCTGAAATCAGTCCTTGGCCCACCATGCAGCATTGAACCCTGCATAGTCCATGACGCGAGGGTCTGCACCTGAAGCGAAGTCTGAAGGGCATATTTTTGAAGGCCGCTCTGCCCTCCAATCTAATAGCGATGGCGATGGCCTCCAACCTGATCTGGCAGCTTTGTTGCTAAGCCCAACTCATGCTGTCCCTGTCGACCACTCACAATGCTTAAAGCAAGCGCCAAGTCTCAAACCGCTGTCCAGAAGCAAGCGCGTTATTTCCGGATGTCCTTCCTGGGCAAGGCTGAGCAGTCAACTGCTTTTGCAATCATTTGCATGAACTGGTCGCACCTCTAGCCTCTAACCGACTCCAAGCTAAACCTCACTCTCACCCTTCACTTGCCATCATGTCACGTCAGGTGACCGAGTCAGCAAGAAGTCCGGGAAACTAAGCGGAACGGAACGCCCCGCCGAGCTGGGGCGGTTCACGTGTGCACGCCCGCGCGCGCACGTTCTTCCGCGTTGCATTGCGGACCCTTTGGGTCCCCGGCCAAAGCGGCAACATGAAGAGGCCTGAAGGTGTGAACACGCATTTCAAGCATTTCAAGCGGTTTATCAGCAAAACATCTAGTAAACCCCATGTAAACAACTACACAAAGCCCCGGAGTGGCGTCAAGCAGAAATTGAAACAGAAGTCCAAGCAGTCTCACCCTGTTGGGCCTAGCCGGTGGAAAGAGGTTAGATTCAGTTAGCTTCTGATCCGAGAACATCTGAGAAAACGGTTTCAGTTAGCCGCAAACGGCGCCATTGCTGAGCTCCGAACGTACTGCCTCGGGCATCCTGCATCTCGGGAAGGGCACCTGGATCGTACAGCTTCGGGTTGCCCATCGATTGAAATCGAGGAGATCGAGGAAGCAGGTAGTACCCTCGGCATCCTTTGCTTCAGAACCAGTTGCCTGGGAACCAGCACCGCTTATCGAAATCCCAACATGCTTGGAACACATGAGAACTTCAATCGTTCAGAAGCGGCATTGCTTTTGTTCCTTGTTCATCCGTGTTTGAGTCCTTCTTCCAACAAGAACTTCTGCATTTTGCCTCCATCCAACAACTTCGCCGCGATCTCTTGGAGATTTGCATGCGCCTCTGCTGCAACGAGAAGCGAAAAGGATCGAAAGTACAGTGCACTGGAAGACGAACGGAAGAAGTACAGTTTTGTATAGTTTTGTCAACTACACAGTTTGTCCAATGTTTGTTCAGCTCTACCAGGAGAAGCAACACCCTTGCGTCAGCTTGAAGCACAAAACATACAGGATAGTAAGAATGGATGGGATGCCAGGCTTAATGGCGTTGAAACATATTGAAACACCCCACAAGGCAGCGACAGTTGCCGTATGTTGCCGTTAGGGCCCTCACTGCCAAATGAAGTGGAGTGCGCCCTCCACATTGAGAGATCTGGCAGGGGCTTCAAGGAAAGTCAACTGCAGGCCTTGAGCCCATCAACATAACATATCATAACATGATATAATACGACACCATGTATCTGTGTCTCACCCTGTATCACCCTCCAAGGTTCCTATCACTCGACAGAGTCCCAATCAAAAAACAAACCACGCGACAATGTCTCCGAACTCTCAATTCTTTGTCTTGTGGTTCCTCTTAGAAGCTCCCATACTTCAGGCAGACAAACGTTTACGCTTGTTAGCCTTCTTACAAAACACTCTGAGGTCAGCGGCGGATCGAATTAACAGATCTAATTTTCGTGGCAGGTGTGGGACGGTCAATTATCACACCCTTTTAAATGTTTTTTTTAATGATAGGCTTTCCGTGGTGACAAATGACCGCCCACACCTTCCCTTGTCTCATGGTATAGGATTCTAGGGGGATAGGGTTGTCATGAGTGTCAACATCAACAAGCGCAACTTTCATCTGGCCAGTGCGTTAAAAATGGGGTGTTGCATTGACAGGTAACTGATTGGTTATTTTTCAAGTGAAATGTCAATCTACAAAGTACTCTGTCCTCTTTACAGATACATATATACATATTTACCAAACATATCTATATACGTAAAGCATGGTAACACGACCCCGGGTGACCCGCGTAGTCGTGCACACAGCACTCAGGTCATTTGAAATGCATCCATGGTCCTTCACAATGTTTTCAATGTTGTCCCACATGTTCGCATGTTCATTTCGCTCCACAGTTCCCCCCTTTTTTTGGACGTTGATCTGAAATTCTAAGGGGATTTACAAGTGTACGTTTCTGTCCAACCCCCAAAAAGTTGCAAACTGACTTTTCTTCGCACAACTCCGGTTACAAGGACGCCAGTCTTTCCGTGGCATCTTGCGTGGAGGCATTGTACCTCCACACAAACTGGAACGCTTTGTCCAAGATAGCAGCATTGATCTGGCTCTTGACCTTCGTCTTGAGGTTGCAAGCAACGAAGCGCTTCAAGTGGTGCCAGCATCGATCTAATTGCTGAGTCCCACCGATAGCAGAAGCGCCCTTGCGCTTGGGGCCCTTGAGGTTGTTCGTGAATTGCGCATTTCGGTGGCTGACGGATTTCACCAAAATCTGCTTCTTGACATCCTTGGCGACAGCTTTCCAAGACCGGTTGCCATCGGTGTAGCATGTGGTGCCAGCGTTGATGCGAGCGAGCAATCTCGAAGCCTGCACATCTTGTTTCGACTCCACCGGTGGCTTCGCTTTTGGAGCCACCAACACATAAGGCAACTTAGCAATGCACAGCTTCGACAATCCCCTCTGACTGGCACCAGCAATCCGTATGTAAAGCAAGAAGTACTTGGGCACCCTTTGGCCCACATGGCCAGATTTCCAGGCTTCAACTTCTTGAGCGAAGTTGGGGTTTGCAGTGCTGATTTTCGCCACTCGCAAGGATGTCACATCGAGTTCAACTTGTGAATTGAGTCGCATAGTGTTGCATAGCCTCCTTCCAGCAGCAGCTTCCGTGAACGACGTAACTGAACGACGTAACTGAACCCCCCCCCCCCCCCCCCCCCCCCCCCCCCAACAACCGAAATATGATTTCCACCAAACGCGCGCGCCGCTGCGGGTCGCGAGTGGGCGTGACACCTAAAACATATAAATAAATAATCTTTGTAGATACATTTATGTATGTTTGATATTTTGAAATAAAATATATAACGCTTGTCCACAATTGGGCTATAACAGCAGAGGTTGAACGGATGCACGTTTTTTACATTTTTGCTCTGAGCTGCCCTGCGTTGAAAAAGGGGTGTTGCATTGACAGGTAACTGATTGGTTATTTTTCAAGTGAAATGTCAATCTACAAAGTACTCTGTCCTCTTTACAGATACACACATATATATATATATTTACCAAACATATCTATATATGTAAAACATATAAATAGATAATCTTCGTAGATACATTTATGTATGTTTGATATTTTGAAATAAACAATATATATAACTCTTGTCCACAATTGGGCTACAACAGCAGAGGTTGAACGGATGCATGTTTTTTACATTTTTGCTCTGAGCTGCCCTTCAGGCAAACAAAAGTTTACGCTTGTTAGCCTTCTTACAAAACACTTTGAGGTCAGCGGCGGATCGAATTAACAAGTCTTTTTTGCGTGGCAGGTGTGGGACGGTCAATTATCACACCCTTTTAACTTATTAATAACAATAGGCTTTCCGTGGTGACAAATGACCGCCCACACCTTCCCTTGTCTCATGGTATAGGCTTCTAGGAGGATAGGGTTGTCATGAGTGTCAACAGAACATCAACAAGCGCAACTTTCATCTGGCCAGTGTATGCAGGCGGTTGTTCCAACAAACTAAATTGCAAAGGCCTTTGACAAGCTCTTTGTTAGTGAGTTTGGCTTTACCCATGAGGAGGTGGCTATCACTGGACTTCTGAGGTATCGCTCCAGGTATCATTCGGTATCGGTTTAGGTATCGCTCCAACGACCATTTCTATCCCCCCAACAGTTTGTAAAACAATCATTGGGAAATAGCATATTCCTGCAAAATGGGGCAAGCTGCCTCTTTCTAGCCATTCTGCTCCTAAGATCCCTAAACAGCTTTGCGTCAAAGCAGTACCTAGGCTGGCATCTTACAAATCAACGGCCCTCGGGTGTCCCTAGAAGGGCCAAGCTCAGGCCTACACCTGGTGGGGAAAAAGCAAGGCGCCACTGGCGCCGCCACACCAGGGCCGTGATGACATGATGCGTAGTGCCTCTTTGATGTTGGGGTCAGCTCGCACGGACAGCAAATAGTTCACCTCAGCTTTGGGGGACTAAGCGAGGTTCTTGAAGGACTCCTTGAAGACCAAGGAGCATGGGAACTCCATGTGAGCTGGGGTACATGGAGCTTTCAACATGTCAGACTGAAACTGCTGCGGACTCCTTCAAGGCATCGTGATTTCCCGCGAGGGACCAAATGCCTAGTCCTGAGGCTCTGGCCATGTCCAAGTCACCAGCACGGCAAGCCGCATGGAGGGGCGTCGTGTTGGTCGGTGGCATGGCCTCGGAAAGTTGAGCTTTGTGGACCACTGCATGCCTACTACTAGGAGCAAGGACGCTACTAGGAGCAAAGGGCATCGCTACTAGGAGCAAAGGACGCTACTAGGGGCTCCTGGCCTTACGCCCTTGTTACTAGTAGCGATTCCCCTGATACAAATAGAGCAAAGGAGTGACACGCGGGCCGGAGGATTTAAAAAGAACCTTGCAAACTTGAATCCTCATCAGGACTGCTAGGGCCGCTAGGGACCCATTCAGTAAAGCGGTTCAACTCAAATGCCTTTAAACGACATAAAGTACAATTTTTGAAAGCCAGCCATAGACTGGACCCAATGTTCTTTTTGGATCTTTTTGGGATCAAACAAGTTGCGTGGCAAAGTGTGGCACATTGCCTTGCCCTCGCGAGAATGGGACCGCTCAGCGGTTTGCATCATTTTAACACCCATCGAAGAAGTGGGATCCATCTCTGCGGACTACTTTGCCCTCCACCACATCCTTTGATTCCTCACTTTGTCAAGAAGATTGAACAAATTCTCACCTTGACAAGAACGCGGTTGTTCCTTCTCATTGTTTTCTTTTGGTTTCTTCCTTTGCTGTTTGCCTTGTTGGATGCTCAGCTCAGGTGCTTTCACTTGTGGGGCCAAAGCCAGCCGTCCAAACCCCTTCCTCCCACACGTTAAGAGCGGGTCAACCTCGGGACTCGCATGCCTCGGCGGGTTTTTGAACCTTTTCCACGCCTCTTCTGACAACGCCACCAATGTCTCTGTGAACTGGTCAGTTTCCCATATTCCCCATGCTCTCTGGACGACACTGGATTGAACTTACATCCTAATCCGGCTTCGCATGCTTTGTCATTGCATGCTTGCTCATTGGAGGATCAAACAAGAAAGCAGCTCAGAAAACACCATAACCGAGAACCTCCACTGAAAGCTACTTCTCAGGCAAGCTGCCACTTGACAAACATGTCCCATGAAAACACATCAAAACACTTTTGTCCACGCCATCCGTGAACGCTTCAAACCATCCTCTGAACAATACCTTTAATATCTTTAATGTGTCTGATGCCTCGGCTGACCGTCAGGTGACTCATGGTGACTACCGACTCAGTGGCACACCCCTTTTGAATCAGCGAGGCGGCTTCATCCACGTCCCCATACTGCAAAACGCCGGAGATGTGGCGTTTGGTGTTGGCTCAAGTCAAGGAAAGCCAAGAGATCATGCGGATGCTTCTTGTGATTGAAAGAGATTCACACCACAGCGCGAACCTAGAGAGTGCTTTGCCAAGAAACATACAAGAACCATAAATAATACCACGTCATAGCCACAAAAAACACACTCTGACAATTGTATTCAGTTAACTCAGTTACCACGATGAGAAGAAAGGCGAAGAACCGCAAGGTGGAAAAGTCAGCGCAAAAGTCTTGTTGAACATTGTTTCCAAGTGGTCGCAAAATCGATCTGTACAGGTGATGCGGTGACGAGCTCAGCTGCGGGGAAAAGGTTTATGGGAGGAAACATGCAACCACCATGAATCAAACAAGGCGGAGTGGACAGCTTTTGCAAAAGTTGTGGCAGGTACACACCAAAGCGTCCTTTGGTGCTTCCCATCTCGCTGCCTAGCTTTGTTAGACCAGGTCAGCAGCGAGATGCCTGGTCCCCCTGCATTCAAAACTCTTAGTTACAAAGGTGGA